CTTTTATGGTTCCATTCAACATCGCTTTCAAGGTAAGATCAATTTTATTGCTTTCAAGCTGTCATTTCTATTGCTTTCTAGAAAATAATCCACTATTGTTTGTGTGGATACGAGTCTGCTGCTGCCAACCAAAGAAGTTATATCGAGTGAACTGATATCGTCTTCGAGTATTAATTTCCTTATCACTCCTATTTGAATCGCTTCCTTAGCGATAGTTTGATTCGAATGGAACCATCGACAGCATGTTTTGGTTTGATGAGGCGCAATGTAACGATACACTTCAGATCAATTTTTTCATATTTAGACCCGTGAGCATCCGCCAAGAGGTGCAATTGATTCTGTCGCATTAATGGATTCGATTGTAGATGTGATATTTTTTGCTGATATTCTACTGAATTTTCACACAACTTTTGTTGGGCCTGGTGGTGAGGTAATCATTCACTTTGCACTTTCACTTACCTATTGATCATGATTGTTCTGAACCCTTACCTTAGATCACCTTGATTTCTGTAAGAGCAAAACGGAATGTCTCACATGTATTAATGGAAGCAGTTCGAATCGAGTAGCTCCAATTCCAAACAGATAGGTCTGAAAGACCCTTTCATGCAAACGCATTCAGTGCAAGCCTTCAATCACTTCCATGAAATCAAACAACTGAACTATCTGAATATTTAAGGTGGTAATCGAGCCAGCGACAATACGCTGTAATTATTTCAAGTCATGGTTCTTAATTGACCTCCTTTCGTGCCTTCCATACGATATTTTTTACATGTTTAAACATGATGATGAGGTTCGTTTACATCGATTTCTCTTAATTAGATTTCTGACTAGTTGGTTACGCTGAATAAATCATTCCGCAATACCTCAAAATGGTTATTGATGAATAGTCAATCGACAAACGAAATCAACGCCCTATGTGAAGAAAAAAATGTCTTTGGGTTGTAAAATTGGAATACGCAACAAATATTCCGCTGAATGAATTCATCTTATCCATACGAGCTATATATGTAGACGACAGCAAAAAAATTGTTCAGTCTTGAGGCTTTACATCTTGAACGCAGTTGTGAACTGCAGATAATCACATAGACGTACGAGTGAAATACCTCAGGTGATTTACAGAGGATAGGTTCATTACTGAGTGCATTGAAAGTGGTACGTCTTCTACGATTGGGTCGTGTGGCCCGTAAACTGGACAACTACCTAGAATATGGTGCAGCAACTCTTTTGCTTTTATTATGTGCGTATGTGCTCGTTGCTCATTGGCTTGCCTGCATATGGTTTTCAATCGGTGAATATGAAGTTAAATTACGGGTAATTTCGTCTTTTTTTTGTTGCTTCAACTTATTGCCTGAATAATTAAAAGCTGATTCGTAAGTGCAATGAATTAGGGAGAATCCAATTGATCTACGTAAATGGCAAACAAGAACCAGAAATTTTCTCTTGAACTTCAGTTCATCGATCCGTCGATACCTGAGGGATGGCTGCTGAAGCTATCGAAGGACCTGAACTCACCATACAACTACACTTTCACGAATCGCTTCAGATTGATTGGAGGTCCACCAAGGGCGTCAGCCTACATAAGTGGTAAGCATTGCCGTCATTCGGCTT